GCTGCAACGAAGAAATATTTGAAAGCCTTAAGTAGACTTGTGCATGTTAAAAGAAATACGTAGCATATTACGATCACAATTGCTTAAAAAGTTTATTACAGTGGGTAATTACATCCCCACAACAGTATTCGACAATAACAAAATGAAATTCATTACTTCTGCGTTACCTTGTTTTATATATTAATGCAATGACACAACGTGAGTTTGTTTTTAACTCTCACGGCTCTTTAAAAACAAACTCACGTTGTGTCATTGCATTAATTTTTAACTCTCACGGCTCTTTGGGTCATATTCTGTGATTCGAAGGCAGCGCTTCAGAGTTTGCAGTCTGCCATGCGTAGGAGGAGTCATGACCAATTGGTACAAGAAATGAGACATTGCCATCATGAAGCTCTAGCACGAGGGTATGATATTATATATCAATGGCTGCCTGGACATATCGGTATTACCGGAAATCAATTAGCCGATGATGCAGCCCGCTCAGCCCATGAAGGAACCCGTGTAGTCCCGATTCCTCTATCAAGAAATGATGCAGCAAGACAACTTTACCTGCTGGCTCGAGATCTCACACGCACGTTCTGGTCGTCTACCAGCTTCCAAAGGTGTCAATTTTATGAACTGGATCCTTCGCTCAAGCTAAAGCTACCATCACAACTTTCCCGCTCCGATGCGACACTGTTATGCCTCCTTTGGTTGGGTGTTGCATTTACAAAGGTGTACTTTTTTCGCATTGGTATGGCAGACACTCCTACATGCGACTACTGCGGAGCTGAAGAGACCATCAAACACGTCCTGTGCAGCTGCGCTTGCTACGACACACAGCGATGCCAGCTACGGATGGTTTTGAATCGACTTGACCCCGGACCATTTTGTGTGCAGAAGATACTAGGACCTTGGGCATCTGCCTCAGTTGCGCAGAAAGCAACTAAAGCACTGCTACTTTACCTTAAGTCAACCAACCTGAGCGACCGCCTGTAAACTGTGTGTGCTCCCCGAGTGTGCTCGTGATTGTGTGTACCTTCTCATCTTTCTGCAACCTCTTTTCTCTACTTTACCCCTTCCCCAGTGCAGGGTAGCAAACCGGATGTGCGTCTGGTTAACCTCCCTGCCTTTCCTTGTATCTTTATCTCTCTCTCTCTCACGGCTCTTTCGGTTCACTCTAACCGTGTAACCACGTAACTCTAAATTTTATCATTTACTCTTACGGCTTGCGTGCCACGCCGCGGTGGTCTAGTGGCTAAGGTACTCGGCTGCTGAACCGCACGTCGCGGGTTCGAATCCCGGCTGCGGCGGCTGCATTTCCGATGGAGGCGGAAATGTTGTAGGCCCGTGTGGTCAGATTTAGGTGCACGTTAAAGAGCCCCAGGTGGTCGAAATTTCCGGAGCCCTCCACTACGGCATCTCTCATAATCATATGGTGGTTTTGGGACGTTAAAACCCACATATCAATCAATCTTACGGCTTGCGTGGTGGAGAAACGACTGGAGCGTTGCGTCGAGGCTTGGATGCTTTCAGCGGATTCTTCTACTGCCTTGTATCGCATGACCATCGTTCGCGATGAACTGATATTTCACTACGTTTTCTGCTTTTGCGGATGCGCAAGCGGATATAGCGGCGTGTAGTAGAGTAGTAGAAAAAAAATGAAAAATTCTGACTGTATCAAGCCTTAGGGCTGACATTTCACGTTCTTTATAAATGAATGGGGCGCGAGGAGTTGATAGTGCCTGCAGGAAGGGTAGTGAAAAAGAAAGACACTACTTTTGCCTTTGAACTCAGTGTGGTTTAGGGGCTCTTCAAGAGTGTAGTTGAAGGCGGCGGTCGCGAGCCTCGAGAAGTTGATTCCAGTCGAGTCGATATACTACGAGCCAGTAATCAGCTGTGCAACGCTCTTGGACGTATTCAGACCTTAGATTGTCTTCCGCCGCCGTCAGGATTGTGGGTGGGCGCATAATCGAGCGGTTGTTTTATCGTTATACAATATGAAATAATGCGTAACAGTGTTTGCGATCATTGCACACGCTGATGTGCACCGAAAACTTCCATACACCCCATAATATTCTGCATGATGCTCCGAACGTCGTTTCGGTTTCATAAAAGCTGCGAGTACGTGATTTTCATTTCTTCAGTGAAGATTACCGCGATATATATTTAGCGAAAGCACGTGATTACTTGAGCTTTCAAACAGCTACAACACTGATGGTTTATCTCTTGTAGATATGATGCGGCCCGCAACCAACACGTGCGTCGGATATTTTGAGATGCTGGCACAATAATGAGTAAAAATCATACGCTGCATGAAGCGAAAAATTAGGGCGATCGTCCGGTTGGTTCTCAGTGGCAACAAAATCCATGTGACCAGATAATTGCGCAACGTTTTGATCCTAAATAAGGTAGGACTTCGGCCACCGTCGTAAAAAGTTGACTTTGCCTTCTTCGAAAATTCAACTTATTCATGCTAAAGCCAATCGGGCTAACCATAAACTGAAATAGTTAGCCGAAATAAAGAAATTCAGTTGACCCGGTTCAGAGCCAACCAGCGCACTTCCGAAATTGAATATATCTTCGACAATTACATCTAATGCATACTGGAGTGCTCTCGGGCGCCATTTCGTGAAGTAATCGTAGCATCTGTCCATCTCGATGTGCACTGGTTCGATTGTCAGCATATTGCTAGCGCCTCTATGAGAAGCGCCGTTTTTGGTGCCAGGAAGTTAAATACGACGGCGCTTACGCTATAGACTTGTGCGTACGATGTTTGACTCTGTGGCGCATTAAAGCTTCTGTGACATGTAAGAGTTTTCTGGTGTTTAGAGTATATTATTTTGTAAAGACGATAGTCTTTCTTGGGGACCTTCCACGCAAAAACTTTGGTCTGTCTGTCTGTACATTTGTCTGTTTGTCCGCCGTTACCGCGAACCGGGTACTTTAAACAGCACCCACCGATACCCCGAACGGTCGACCCCATATGCAGCACCCACCGATGTTGCTCAAGAATCATCGTGCATACGTCTGGGATTGTCTATTAAAAATCAATTATTGCGCTTATCTGAGGCACCATAGCAACACATATATATTCTGCATGTTCGTCTTTTACTAGAAAAAGGCATACATAAGTAATTTTAAGGACCGTAGTGCTTATCACACTGCGCTGACCATGCAACGCTTGCAAGGAAAGGCGAGTGTTTCCAACGCTTTGCTACGACGAGACGGTGGTGGCACCTACCCGTCGCCTTGCGTTCTACACCTTATCACCGCTGAGACGGGCGCGCACGCCCATCTCAGGGCCACGTGCTTTGTTTTCGAAAAGAACTGCCAGATGGCGCTTATGTCTCACGCGTGACGTGACTTGATGCGTTCGTTCGCCTCCGCTGCACACTCGAGGCACTCTAACGCAGCGCCTCCGGAATACCATTCACCAATTTTCTTGCGCAGAACATCAAACATATGTTTTGTTCAGTCTCTCCACACGCAAGACTATCGTCTTTCGACGATATTTGCAGATTACATGCAGATACGGGGCCAATTTTTTAAATACAACTTCGTGTTTTCAACGACGCGGAAGACAGCCTGATTGCATTACCAAGTGATCACTTTCAAGGAATTCTACATGCGACGTCACAAGTCCACGTGAAGGTGTCACGTTACAATGACGTGTAACGTGTTCGTGCACGTGCAAATAGACTACAGATTCAAGCGTGGTTCCTATGGCAGTGACCATCTGGTTCGCTTTACGCCACGGGTTCATCTCTGTCGTATTTAGAAGAATATTAGCTACGGCGTTGAAGTACATTAACCTGAATCGCTTGTCTGAAGAATAAGCTCTTATATACAAAACATGAGACAACCGATGCTTATACTAGGCTATCACTCCCTTTTACACTTGTGTTCGGTACGAGCACTGCACACGCAATGTAGTTGCGATGTGGCATTCATACTCACCATGGCATAAGGTCTCCTTACGCTTCCGTTTTCTTCGAAACCACACCGAAAGCTGTGTTTTGGCGACAATGCTTCCGTGCACACGGCATTTTCAAGCAAAGCTTTCTTTTCTTACCTTACCGTTTTACTCGACCGAGACGCTGAATGTTTGCAAGCAATCGGTGCACACACCATGGATAGTGCTCACGAATAAATTAGACTGCACGCCAATTTTTACATCAAATTTCTTGGAAAGAACTTGATTATCTGCAAGGGAAAAATACCGGAGAGGTGGGGATTTTCTTACTTGCGCGATGGCCGAGCTCATCTTATGCTCATTGTTTTGAGTGGATATTTTTATCGTTAATAACAACCCAACCGAGTTAGACAACGAACATGTGATTTAAGGTTCGTCTGCAGTTCCTTGCGGGTGTTATTTCAAGAAAATATGCAAATGTGTAAGAACATGGCAGTGAAGAGAAAAGTTGACTCGCTTGGCACTTGACCGGTTTCCAGGGTCCTGCAGTTATAGCCCTAAATTTTCACAGTGTCTTTTTATGCAGTGGGAATAAATAGTCGGGAACGGAACGAATGGCAACATACTTTTTCTTTATTTTACCGTCAATAAATAAAAAAAAGACCCTTGGTATTGTGCTTCCAACGTCGTCACATTTCAGCCGCCTATCTCGGCGACCACGTCATGAACACCCTGGTTTAAGCAAATAAGATGTTTTCAAGTCAGTAATTCAGTCAAGTCTGCAGCACAGTCTTGTAGGTAGGTCTTCGAAGAACGCCATCATCAAATGGCCGGGGAGAGAGATAAATGCCTTTGCTATTTCTAACACCTGGCGTCCATGGTATTTCGAATGCACGGCTGTGTCTTGCGCTACCTCGGTCTTGCAACAAGTCCGCTCATTCGCGGCCCGGGGTCATAATCTCTTGACGCCGCATGCCTCTAGTCTTGTGTAAAAACAGTTGGTTTAGCTCTGGAGTTCTTCCGATGCGTGTTGGAGCCTCGCCTATACCGTTCTTGCGCTCGGGACAGAAAGGTTTCTTTAATGCGCCTTGCAGGAGTTTGACAGACCTCGTGTTTTCTCAGGGTGGACCATCTTGCAGCGAAACTACACGTGAGGCGTAGCTTTCGTCCACCACGCAAGCAACTTTCAAGTGGACTTCTTCATTTGCACTTCTATCACGGAGTTTCACCTAGAGAGACAGAAGAAAGAATATTTTTTTTCGTGAACGTCTAAAATCGGTTTAGAAATCAGCAGAGTGACAATAGGTGTGCGCATAGGATGGCAAAGGAGGCAGCCTTCCTCCCCGATAACCCAAGAGCAGTGGAGGGGGGGGGGGGCAAACGTTATACATTGACATATTAGAGAGGGGGGGGGGGCTGCGATGAACCTTGCCGCCCCTCCCCCGAAAAGGAACCCTGCGCATGCCTAAGCAGTGACTGCACTGATGGGAAACGGTTGCTATAAGTTGTTAAAACATTGAGAAAAAAGAGCAGAAACGAAGGCGACCTTCCCCTCGTCTACCGAAAAAACAAAATTACTTCAAAGAGACTCGTATAGGTAGTTATGAAGTGAGAGTACAAGTGCGCATTCAAACAGCCATGACTATAAAGCTGCCTGAAATTAGCCCGAACGAATGAAAATTCTTTAGCAGACAAAGCTACAGATAGTGCCTTTCCACAATGTGTTCAGCCATGTTTACTATCTCGGCGTTGCTTCTTTTTCTATGGTATTGCTTTACTTCTGCCAATTGCCTTATGTCCCCTCCACTGTGACTGAAAACACCGCCTCGTTGTTTGATTGTGAAAACAAGAAAAAACATTCATCGATTTGCGAACATTATTGCTGAGTCGCTGAACCAATTAATGAGGCATATGGCAGCGCGGTTCACGAAATAATTGCCTTAGGTGAATTGTGTGTACGACATAGGTCAAACACAGAGAATAGCGGGCTTTACTAGGGTACCCACAGAAGGTGTCTGCCTATGGGTGGTAAAAAAAAAGTAACCACAACTGTCGTTGGCCACGTATCGAATGGAGCGTTTCGTGCCGAAAGAACTACGTGCTTAAACGGTAAGTCGTACAGAGGAGAACCCAATTCCGTTACGTTGTAGCGATGCCTCTTGTGACGCAAACGAATTTTCATGAGTTTGCACTCCCTGTCAGTGGTCAAAGCGATGGTCTGTCCCCATTATCAGCGGTCGAAGCAGACCATGAGTGGTGGGTGCTGATCAAGACCAGTACCAGAATTCGACACAAGGCATGGCTACAAAGTGCCACTTCTGAAATAACTGTTTACCACTTATTTGCGCACCTACATAGGGTAGTACTTTCAACAGCACACAGCTCGCTACGCAGACGGCAGTAACATTGCGCGCTCCGGTGACTCGGCTACATATGCTCACGCGTGTACGCTGTAAGAAGTACACTTGTGCTGTCTATAAACACAATAGGAAATTTTCGAATTGTGCGGTAGATTCCATCGTCCGTGATGTCTTCAATGATAAAGGAGTGTTCACCCCAAATTTCAACGACCCTGCTTATTGCCTCCGTCGAAATTTCTACCGCGTGGCTGGAAAGTGAACTGGTCAGCTGGTCGAAGAAATCTACAGCTGCTAAGTATCCACGGAGGACGCGAGGGACTGACGCGATTCACCTAAGTACAAGGTGGACTTCATTGACGTTATAACACTAAAAATTTGGGGCCGACGAAAGCTTGGCTGTTGAAGGTAATCTCTAGAAAAGTTGAACGTATCTCACCTTGACTATGCATGGCCAAGCTGTGATCCACTGCTCGCTGCTGCGGATCGGGTTGTGCCAAGAACCGCTCTGTAATACTTCGGTTTCTTTCTAGCATAAAGGAGTGTGTACCGCCGCCTCGGACGCCTGCACAAAACGCGGCGTCCAGGTCTGCGTGGAGGCCCACGAGCAGTTGGACGCTTTCCCCGAAAAGGGCGACGTGGATGGCGGTCGCGAGCCTTCGCTGTTCCTCACCTGTCCTGGCGTACGCTGCCGCGAAGCGCTTGCCGCTCCACAGCACCAAGAACATCACCGCGTACTCCCGCGGGCTCGGATTCGGGTACTTGCTGATGAGGCAGACGTAGTACGTCCCGCAGAAACTCCTCACACTGAGCGTCGACGGCAGTCGATCGGATCGCAGTGCTTTCGTCACGGCCGCCAAGAACGTAGCGCAGTCGGCGTGCAGCGCCGAAGTGCCGAAGCGAAGGAGAAGCCAGGGACGAATCTTTCGCCTGGGCAGCATCCAACAGTAGAGCCAAGCGGCACGCTCCAGGCGTAGGAACACGGTGTAGGACGCTTCAAGAACGCGTTGGATTTCCCGGAAGGCCTTTTCGGCTTCAGAAATCCCAGCCGCGGAATCCAGGCCACGTTCTCATCGTCCAAGCTTCGATGATCGTACGAGGAAAGTCTTTCAACATGGACGAGCAGCTCGTCGAGGACACTTTTTGCCAAGCTTGTAGAGGGCAGAAACGGCCCCGGAGAATCCGTGTCGTTACCTTGCATCTGGTTCGATTAGTCGTCGAGTGGTAGCGTGAAACGAGACCGCAAGTGGTATACCAGCTTGCGAAGTGGCGGTAGAAGACGAATTCAGCCGTGGCGGTGCCTGACCAAGTATGCCTGAGATGTTAGCCTGCTTTATTTAGCGTTACCGCCGAGGCAGCAACCAGTCTTAAAGCACACTAGTATTACCTACGACGACGAGAGTATTCAGCGCAGCGATGCGGATGATTAGGTCAACGTAATCTCGGTCCCCATAGCGTTGCAAAACCGGAAACATAGTCTTAATTCAGACACGCAGGCGTCGAGCAAGCACCGTGCGTTAAACGTTCTTTGAAATCAAGATTAGGTGTATTAATAAATGTCGTTAAAGCACAAGTCATGGAATGCATATCTTCAAGATTGCGATATCAGCACCACCGAAGAAACTTTCCCGGCCTTTCAGTGATCACTCTATAACGCATACGCAGAAATAGTGTCTTCTAAGTTGGGCCAAAATAAGGAAATAAAATTATTCTGCTTTCAGGTAAAATGAAGGCGCTTAAGGTTAAGGATCTACCCCTATAATGTTGCGTGTATCTGAAAAGAAGATTTAATTAAAGTTTGTGGTTTGACACAGAGAGAAAAGTGTCAAAATGTGCGGGCTACTCGCCAAGGCTTTCGTTATCCGTAACTGTTCTGTAGCTACGCTGGCGCCGAAAAAAAAAAAGCCACCGAGCACCTGTATCAGTACAGGTGAGCAGTGATTCGTTGGGTCAGCTAGCCACGCTCCCATAGTTGAATACGAAGCACTTGAAATCGTTAACCACTTATTCTAAACACAAAAATGGCGCTGGTATAGATGTCCAAAGGTGCAAAAGTTGAAGAAGAGAAGACAGCGGGAAGGACTTTCAAGCACGAAGTAACAAAATGTGCTTTCGAATTATCCCAGAAGGTGGGAACGAAAGTTAGGCTAGCCGTAAAGGCGACAAACTAATGTACGCCTTTTATCTCGCGTGTGCCGCTGACGGTAATCTCTATAAACATGCGCTTTGGAGTGAGGTGGTTACCAGTACCGCTTAGTTAGTTCTTGTTCGTGATCAATGCTTATCTCGTGTATCACGTGATTTATCTTTAGGAGCGACGCTCCTTAAGCCCGCACCCCGCCGTCGCAGCTGCCCGCCACCTTTCTATAGAGTTGGGTCAGTTTCGCAGCTTACAATTGGCACTTGCTCTCCGAAGTGGAAGAGACAGCCGATGCAGGAACGCAGTTGCATCTATGTTTCGTGCGTTCGCAAATCACGCACGAGGTAGGGAGAACGGTAGCACGGATAAACGCATCCTAACCAGCTGCTTCTCGCGCACTGCAGCTCTCTGCGGCATGTGCGTCACCTCCGAGTTCACACCTGAGTCGTCGCGAGCGGGGCCGTGAATCTGCACTGTTTCTATTAAGATTGCTCTCTGTACCACCTTCAGGAAAGTCAGCAGTGGAATAAGGCTCATAGTTGATTGCGTCTCATATCTAAGGAGCATTGGGCATCGATTTTTATTTCACTCTCTATTTCGTGAGTGCGTAATTCTTCGTAATGTTTGGTGGTTGCATGCAGTGAATTTGTGGACAGGATGGTAAAATGAGCTTCTTAGTGGTGAAACATCGTGAAAACCTGCGGTTCACTAGAAAGACACTGACCAAGGAAGACGACTGCAGGATGCGCTCACTTCCAACAGAATGTTTATTTGACAGAGGCGGAGTGTATACGTTTGAAGCGTGTGCCTAGGCGCCGAGTGATCCGGCTCGGTTGCCAAAAGAAAAACAAATGAAAATGCAAGAATAAACAGGAGCGGAGAAGAATGATTAAAGTGCTTCAAGTGCTGTACAGCGACACGTGCAGAACCACACTACTGCGTTTTCTTTATGAATGAAAACGCTTTTTCCATTATAGGCTTTCAAAGCAACGTCAAAGTCCCCACTACTCATATCGTAACTATGTACTATCCGCAGAACTCTTTTCGCTAGAACACTACCACTCCCATTCCTGCTCATCAGTTCAACTGTCGGATCGCATTTGTGGTGAGTCACAATGTAGCAGCTGCTGAGTAGAAATGCTCCCCGCCGAATAAGATGCGCACGCCCGAACGTGTAATTGCCCCCGTTGCTGTCAGATCCACCGGCAAAGCGCCTTTACGCCATCGTCTATCTGTGACGCATAGCTCGACCACACCTTCGTCACGCCCATACTTGAGCTTGCCTTCCGCGTGGAAGCTCTGCCGATGCGAACATCGCCCACTTTGGCGATTTTCACTGCTTCACCCCCGTATTCACTAACACTCCTCGACTCGACCTTCACCCTTTACTTGACAGAGTTGGGCACTCCGCCGCAGCTCAGCTCAAAAGGACGCTGCGCTACTCAAGAATCGCAGCAGATTGTCGCTGATATGCAGTGACTTGCCGTGCCTAGAGAGGGAGCTTCCATCGGCTTTCTCAAGTGAAGGTGAAGCGTTCAGTGAAGGGGCCTTCTAGGATACGGGGGCCAGTGATGTGACCTATTGCCTTAAGCCCGTATTCACAAACACTCCTCGACTCAAACTCAAGAAATCCTTCAGATTTTTCGCGGAGCGAAAATCGCAATGCGAAAGAGCCTTCAAGGATTCCTTGAAGTCGAGTTTGAGTCGAGGAGCGTTTGTGAATACGGACCTTATTGTTTCCAATACCGATAACTATGCAATTGACTAGTGAAGGTCCACAATGACAAGTCCTACGGTGCCGACTTATATGCATACTCTTGTGTACGCTTGTAGCGCCTGTAATTAACGCCAGTCACAACACGTCTTCTATAAGTGTGTTTCCTGCTTCATTTCGACTAGCATTGTGAGCATCTCTCGCACTTCTAAAGGAAAGAAGGAAATGGTATAGGTAAATGTGCTGATGAGTACGTAGCTGTGGCACTGTGCAAAAGTACTTCCTCCGTCCTCTCTCTTTTACATCTCTATACTCCCCTTTTCCATTCCCCGAGGGTAAGGCAACCAACCGCGCATGTGCCGGTTGGTTGCCTCCCCACCTTCTCTCCTGTTTTTCTCCCCAACTTCCTTCTCTTGCACAACTCGTCCACCGAAGAGTTGATGCTTATCGTGGTGGACATTACCCATTTGCATGAAAGCAGTCTGCTGAAGGCACTTACCTTCTGCCAATTAACGTCTTGCTTATACTGTCCTAGTGGGAAAGTCAGGGTGAACAGAACAGAACGTATATTGGGGCTTAAAGAACAACGTAAACTAAATGCCTCAGCCTGCACCACCGAGGTATAACAGGCTTAATTCAATGGAAATAAAATGAATAGGGCTTGCGCCAAAGGGTTGATTTGGAGGATAGAAAGGAGATAAGAGGGGAGGAAGGGAAGGGGGAAAAGGGGATGAAAAAAAGAGAAAAAGTGAAATACTATCTAGCGCCACCCCGGCCACGGGAACAGGCCGACTCAATCCGCGGGATTTATTTTCATTTTTCATTAAGATATGTGGTTTTACAATAATTTTGTTCTTGTGCCTTGTATCTTGACTAACATTTCTTCTTCTTGGGCTTCTCGGGTCTTGTGTGTGGATCTTCCTTCTCCTTCTTCTCACCGGCTCCACGGGTTGACCGTTGTTCTCAATTATTCCTCCTGCTTGAGAAAATACTATGAGTCACTTGTTATTCACTCTTTTGAGATACCATGTTTGTTCGCCGTATGGTTTCTCGATTTATCTGTTTAAAGCCTTCTTAATTGTTTGTGTTCTGTGAACTTCGATATTTACTTGGAACTTTTGGAGTCTGGTTAGGTAGTGAACGAGGAATTGACTTGCTATTTATATACGTTGTCCTGTTACCTAATAGCTGTCACCGTCATGCGGTTTTGAGCTAGACCTTTTCCGTCGTTGCTTCCAGCCTTTATGTTATCAATGTTTCCCTTGTCCCCTTCTCCTTTTTTATTTTTATTCTTTTCCCCTCGTCTCTTGTGTAATAATATTTGCTTACCCGGGGATCATGGTGGACCCAAAGCAATTTTAATTTCGGAGTCTATTTGAAAAGGTTGCTTTCTTAGCTTCACCTCCTTAGACTCATCTTTATTCTATAACTCTAGTTATTGTTTTCTTGCTTTCTTAAATCTTATTTTAGTTTTGATGGTGGTACTCAATTAGTATGAGATGCCCGAATGCATCTTCCTTGCCAATTTTGTTATTTTGATTCTTGGTCGTGTTCATCCGTCATCCAAACATGCCAGCCGGGGGTGACTCACATTCTCCACTCCATTGTTCCTGGGTGGTTATTGTTTGCGGTCTAAGATTAGGAATCAGGAAGCCCTCATTGCGTGGAACTTAGCCATGCTTTATGGAGTCTATCGCATTTGATAGCTTGAGGCTGTGCCTTATGTCCAAACTTCAGAATGAATGTCCTTTGATTGTTCCTGGGTTTTGTGCTGACTTCTTCGATGTTTGCGTAAGTCTGGGATCAAAGGGTGGACCTAGGGTCCTCGATCTACCATCGACCTTCGCTTTGTAGAAATGATGATTCGGGTATAGGATTATCATTGGACGATTTATCCAGATCTACTATCGGCCCGATATATCTGAAAGTGGACTCGGCACTTGTCTGATCCTTTTAGACTGATGGACCTGTGAGGTGGACTTGGTTCAGTGGTTCGGATGCACCGTTAACCCCTCCCAGCGACGAAATTGAATCACGGATTTGATTGTGTTAAAATTTCTCGATGTAGTGTATCTTTTGATCTCTTTGAGTGCCCTCGTTATAATTATGCCTGTAAAACTTTTTCGTTGATAGTTTTAACTATGTCCTTTATGATTTCTATGCCCTCTAAGACCCCAATGATCTCCGGTTTGGCTTTGTTTGGATTAGTGTATTTCTTCTTCAGTGCGTTCTCTTGTTTTACTGTTTTACATGAGTCCAAGTAATGGTCAA